AGAAAATGCGTACATACTTAGGCTACTTCTCAACGTAGTCACCTCCGGAACTCAGGCACTTGTCGTGTCGGGGAATAAGTTTCTGCATGCCTGTGTCAAAGAAGTCATTATTGTTGAAGTGATGTGATCTCAACCAGTTCTTCAGGTAGGTAAACAGGTGGTACTCACTTGGAGCGAGATAAGAACAGTAAGGAGGGTGGTCAGACAACTCCCAGCTGATATGCTTCAGCAGTGCTCGAGTACTAGGAGCTCTATGCGGACGTGCATTGTCATGGAGGCGCACTGCACTGGAAGTCAACATTCCATACCTTTTGCTCTGAATGGCCCTACACAGTTTTTTAGTGTTTTGCAATACATTTCTGAAGTTATTGTGGGCCCTTGTTGCATGAATTCTACCATCAGCACTTNTGTATTATATACAGAAAATGCGTACATACTTAGGCTACTTCTCAACATAGTCACCTCCGGAACTCAGGCACTTGTCGTGTCGGGGAATGTTTCTGCATGCCTGTGTTAAAGAAGTCATTATTGTTGAAGTGATGTGATCTCAACCAGTTATTCAGGTAGGTAAACAGGTGGTACTCACTTGGAGCGAGATAAGAACAGTAAGGAGGGTGGTCAGACAACTCCCAGCTGATATGCTTCAGCAGTGCTCGAGTACTAGGAGCTCTATGCGGACGTGCATTGTCATGGAGGCGCACTGCACTGGAAGTCAACATTCCATACCTTTTGCCCTGACTGGCCCTACGCAGTTTTTTAGTGTTTAGCGATACATTTCTGAGGTTACTGTGGGCCCTTGTTGCATGAATTCTACCATCAGCACTCCCCTTGTTTCCCGGAAAACAGTTGCCATCAGCTTTCTAGCAAACAGACTTTCGTTTGAAATTTTTGGACTTGTCTGATGAAAGTGCGTGCATCCACTGCTTTGACTGCTCTATAGTTTCAACATACTCAAATGAAACCCAAGTTTCAGCACCTTTTGCGATGCGATTGAAAAATTCATCTCCATTTTTGTGGTATCGCTCTAAAAAAAATTAAAGCCGAGGTCATGCTGTGCGTTTTGTGCGCACCCGTGAACAATTTCGGAACCCATATTTTCAAAACTTGTGATAGCCTAACTTAACTCTGATAATACTGAAGAGAACAGTGCGTGAAATCTATAGAAATTCACACGAAATTTTCGAAATTGTGAAGGACCGTCTCACAAATATTTTTGTTCAACGATTTGAACAAGATCATCCCTCACTTCAGATGGCCGGTCGACATCTTTCTTCTTCATTGTTCACATCTCTTCGTCAATCTTTGAACATTCTACACATTGTCTTACATTTCCTCCACTCATAACTTTAGGGTCGTAAACCGCGCATAATTCGCGATAATTTCCGCAGCACGCATGCTTTTAGCGTGAAGAATGCGGATAACAGCGCGAATTTCGCAGCTGGCGGGATTATCAGTCGCAGGAAAGTTCATATCTCACCCTGCAGAGACAAGCACAAACCCTAGGTGAGCAATAATATGATTGTTTATAATGCAACGAGTCATGTGACGTTACCTCGCATGCGCGAGCTCTTCTCTGCTCCTACATTAGTTACCCAAAATGAAAGGATGTGACTTTCCGAACAGCCCTCGTATCTTGGAATTACTTTTGATCGAAAGCTCCTCTGCAATGATGATATTACTCTTCTGACTGGCAGGGGAGGCCATTCATGTAGGACTCTGTACTGATGCCTCATGGGAATCATATTGGCAGCCACAGCTAGGCTGTCTCTCTCGTCAGGCTTTAAAGTGTTAAACCGCGTAGGAAGACACATGGGCAATGTGCAAAATAAAGAGTTTAATAGAACCCCCGTTCCCCTCTTTCTAGAACGCATACCCAACGTACGGTACAGCTCTCATGAGGATGTCAGCCTTACGTGCCGGCTTACTTTAACCCCCCACCCCCCGGGAACATTCCTGGTACTCATTTCTGTTAAGAGGCAGAGTCGAATTTAGGGCCATAGTGCGGTTGGAAGGATTAGGTCAATTGTAAAATACAATGGCATCATCGGGAATCGAACCTGCGACCTTCCGGTTTGTAGCATACTCCTAGTGCTTCGACCGACTACGCTACCGCGTGCCCCTGAGTAAGCAGTGTACAGGGATAATAAAGGCAGATTATGTCAATTGTAAAATACAATGGCATCATCGGGAATCGAACCTGCGACCTTCCGGTTTGTAGCATACTCCTAGTGCTTCGACCGACTACGCTACCGCGTGCCCCTGAGTAAGCAGTGTACAGGGATAATAAAGGCAGATTATGTCAGTTGTAAAATATAATGGCCTCACCGGGAATCGAAAACGCGACATTCCGGCTTGTAGCATGCTTCTAGTGCCTCGACCGACTACGCTACCGCGTGCCCCTGAGTAAGCGGTGTACAGGGATAACAAAGGAAGATGTCCCTACCTGTTGTGGATGCAGGAGATATGCTTCCACTGACGGTGATGACGGCTGGCCTACTTCCAATGCACAGAGCTTCATCGTCCAGTTCCGACATGGCCCATTCGTCCGCCGCACATGACGAAATGGAGTACTGGGCCGCCGCTGATTCGAAGTCCACGAACTCTTCTTCAAAAGCACACGGCATGGCTGTATACGCAGCTTGTTTCTGGTCTTCCTGAACCACCGACATATTGACCGCCTCCTAGTCACGAAGCAACAAACCCCATCACTGACACACCACTCTGACTGAAAGAACAAAGCTTTCTTCCCTTCTGACACTCTGGTATCACTGTGTGACTGCACTGTCACTCGCTGCACATGCTTTATATTATTCACTGCACTTACATCCTTGGTTAACTTCCTTTCCCTGCACAAAAAAATACAGTACGACACTTCCGTTGATATCTGAACACACACGCGCGCCCTACTGCTTGCTGTAATTCACAACACCGTAACAAAAAGAGCAGTCAAATTGGTCACTATATATCAGATATTCCTGCTAGACTAGGAAATCAAATGAGACAAAAGTAAGAACTCGTATGATTGAACTGTGTTCTGCATTTTGCTTATGTCGAGTAAGCTTCTAGGCTAACTGTAATCCTTTCGGCTGATTTATGTTGTCGCACTCACCCTAGAGACTAATTTTATGGTGTTTATGCTTTATTTATGCACAACGGGATTGATATGCGTGACTCAGCACACATTTGGAGGCAGTTTGGTTATGTGATCGACAAATAAAAGGGTGAGCACACATACACCAGTTTACATTTAATTAGAAGGATTAGTTTCGTAGAGGCATTTTACTATAAGAATTCACTTACAGTAGGATACATCCACCTCGATTCCAAATTAATATATAAACCAACTCTTATTCCTTCTTATTTACAAATAAAAGCCACTCGTTGATCACATGGTCACGTTTATAAGAAGTTTTATAGGACACAACATGTTCAGAATATGATGGCGGCAAACTTAACGGAACTTGAATATGTTATGAAACGCGGATTTACGGAAGTTACGCATTAGATGCTCCTTGAACAGCTGACAGCCGAGCACTGTGTCGCGAGTCGCTTATTCCGTGTTCCTTAATTCGCCGCTGCGCTCGTGTCGCGTCGCCACTAGTTCTGTTACGTACAAAACGCGGTTGCAACAGCAGCAGTAGGCGATAAAAGCAGGACGCATGCGTGACATAGACTCTGATATCTACGGACAATATTATTTGATTTTTTTGTGAGCTTAAATGAGGGACAAACGTGTAGTTAGTGAAATATATATTTAATGCACATATTAATTTCCCTATTTTGCAGCTTCCAGTTCAAATCTATGGTCATAAAAGGCTGCGATAAAAACACGTTTCATTTGTTTCAGTTTTTAAACTGTTCGGTTGACAATAATGTTATCCGATTTCAGCTATAGGTGTATGGATTTGGGCAAAAATAACCGCCGAGTTTCAGTACGTTTTATCTCTTTAAAAAGATAACAAAACATTTGTGTTTTCAGAGGGTTTTAAAACCCATAACCGTATTACAACAGAGTCCCTTACGAACGGATGTCATAAACTGACTTTACATTAATGGATATTCTCATTAATCATTTCTGCCAATGAAATCATTTTATGACGAGTTTGACGTTCTCGCAAATGTTACTACGATGAAGTACTTTCTCCTGCTTTTTATTGCCATGTAGTCCTCCGTTTGTCTCCTGCTTCCTACTGGTTTCTTACTTCAGTTACTCTTCGACCTGAAGATGGATGCAGTTCTCCGAATTGTTGGTGGATTTCTGTAGGACTACACCTCGTTACGACCCTGACGGCTGTAGTCTAAATGGTTCCTTACGTGGCCGTCAACACAACAAGACAGACACCTTAATGGAATAAATACAAATTATTTGGAAGTTACCCGCATGATTATATCAGAGTATGTTGGCCCTACGTATTGTGTAATTCAAATTTGTTTTAAATTGTTAGTATTATATTTATTATATCCATTGAGTAAGCTTGCTCCCCTTAACAAATATTGAATGGACAGACGAATTTTCATGAAACTTTGTATGGTCATCATTACTACTGAAACCACCTCATATTCATAATCCCCTATTTCCTGCTGTCAGCAATGCTAAGAGAACATGCAAATTTCCGAGACGGGAGAGAAGTTATCGATTCAAAGTCAGGTTCCTGAAATTTAGTAAGGTATTTAATTGACCTTTCAAAATTATAAAACTTTTTATTTTCGTGCACATGAAAGCTACAATATGGCGGCGGGCCTAAATCTACATTTAACATTTCATTTGAAAGTGATAAGTGATACAGAACTGTGTTAAATTACGAATGGAGTTGAACCATGCGCTTGAAATCTAGATGCTGCAAGTCAGTGTGGGCGGGACACACCGATCAGGTTACGTGAGAGAACTCTCAAGGCGTCAGTACCTACACAAACTACTATTGTTACCTAAATACGTCATGAAGTTGCAAATTTATTGATTTATAACACGGAACAGACCCTTAAGCCATTCACTTGACAGGCAGCAGAAGCAGAAGTTAAACGCTTAACAAAGAACAGATACACGTTATGCGCTTAGCACGGAGCAGAAACTAAGTCATTTGCTTAAGGAGAGGAGGAACATAATGTGGGGTATAGACCCGTTGCTAAGTCGTTACTCTGTAACCAACGGCCGTTGTCAGGTAAAGCCCGCAATATGCACGCAACAATAGCACAATAATGTCATGCAACCCGTTTCTAAGCAACGAATGGGTAAACGTGCGTCCACAACGATAGAGTTAATGCTGGAAACGGAGTATTCTATTTGGTTCGTGCAAAGTGGTCTTAAAGAATACAAATGGGGTAATCCAGCTGACTGAGTGTTGGTAGTCGAGAGTTGAGCTCTGTAAGGGGGCTGAGAGGAGATGGCGCTACAGTTAGTTAAGAGTTGAAAGTCCGGCTGTGAAGAAAATAGTTGCAAGTGTGCAGCAGTAAGAAGAATTAATGTGTATTGTAGTTACAGTGAGACTAGTAAAATTACTCTGTTAAAAGCCGTTGCCAGGATACGACTAGTGAAGAGTGAGAAGACTTAGCATTTGCTAGCGATTTTTAACGCGTGGAGATCAATGATGGCGTTGTAAATACCCGTAGTTTCGAATTGTGTCAATAAATCCAATATAAATCCATACCACGTCTATTGTCACACTCCGAAATCGTGACAGTAAGTTATGCGCTTAATAGAGAGCAGATTACTAGTCATGCTTTTAGAACAGAGCAGAAAAAGTCGTTCACTTAACAGGGATGAGAAATACAAGTTTACAGTTTCAAAGTTCGGTATATGCAAATCTGTGCCAAGAAAGCCTGTGTCTTCAATTTGACACTAGTTCGAACCATTTCCAGAACTTGTTTTTTACTCGTGTATTTTCTCAGTTACTTTCAGCAATCGCCAGATCAGTAGCCTATAATGATCACCCTCGTATTACTTGATGTTGACTGAGTTACTGGCAAAATTATTCTCAAAGGTGAAGTAAGGTCACAGTCTTCTACAGGCCTCATTTCAACATTCTTGTTCTGAGCCACCACGTAATCTCCCTTTTGGATGGAGACTGAGGTTCGCTTTTCATAATCCTTCTTCAGTTACTTTAGTAAATAGTCTCTCCGTTATTCTCTAGGGAATTTATTTATCTTTGTGAATCAATTAATTCTTGTAAGATCTGAGGCTTTCACTGCGGTGACTATGAAGAAAGCAGTCTACTTTTACCAATTCTCACGGTCTCTTCGCTTGCGGATTTCTTATATTTTTCCTTCTACCCTGAAGATGGAGGCGATACGTTCCTCCGAAACGTCGGTTAACACCACATATACACGATGCCAAATCCCAGAAGACTGCTCTCCTCAACTAATTCTTCTTCCTCCTCCTCCTTCTTCTTCTTCCTCTTTTTTTCTTCGAACAACATTTCTGTTTTGTATGGTCTAACAGACGGAAGGTCGCAGATGATGTCACACTGTCTTCCTTTTTCGACAGATTTCTTTTTTGATGTCTCCCAGCACTAAACGGATCGCCCTCCTCCGAGTCATCCAACAGGGCTCTTTAAACGGCGAACCATTTAATTAGTTCTCTTCTAAACATTTTGTAAATTGTTAAATTCCAGATCTCCTTTTCTTAGTTACTGTTCTCCTCCCTCAACACTTTTTACAAAGGCTGAAGCCACTGCTAGGATGGAATAGTGGTGAGGCCCTAGAAGTCAATGCGTGCGTGTGTCATGAAGCCACGTAGCTCCAACACGTTCAATGCAGTTTCATTCCGAAAAATTTTGCAGTAACAAATATTGACCTGTAAATTCTACCCATTGAGGAATATAAATGGAAATTGAATCAGTGACAATTAATGAATAAATTAATATTTAGTATTGTCACTTGTTGGGGGTACGCATAACTAAAATAACTGGTTCTAAATCAGATAGCTGCATTTTTAGAAGTTACATTACAATCTCTCTTAATTACAATTAACAGAGCGCTATAGCTGATTTGCACAATTTACAGTTCACCGTTGCACACGCACTACGATTCTCAGTTTTCACTAGTCTTCTCCTGGCAACATACCTTAACACAGAAATTAGCACTTCAAATCACCATGAAGTTGCCTTGCCATTTCTTGTTCAATCACCCTGGAACCTCAGAACACAACTAAAATTTCTTCTTGATTCTCTTAGCTGCAAGCGGACTCATGTGTTATTTAACAGCAACGCGGGCAACACAGAAAACACAATTCTACTGTTGCGTAATGAAGACCACACAGAAAACAAGTCACGTGATAGCTAAGTACTATTGGAGTGTGATGTCATTGCGTCTGCATGGAAGTGTGTTTACCGAGCTGTTGCCTAGAGGCGGGTTCCATAACACGTTGCTCCATTGTTGGTGCTTGTGTTATTTAGAAACAAGTGTTTCTGTGACTCAAACGATCTTGCACGAAGTAAGTACGCCACAGTATTTATGCTGGGGCTCGTGAATATTTGGTAAAAATCGAAAGGAGGTGTCGTCGTGTCTAGAAGATTAGCAAATAATAGAGCGATGCCAGCAGCATGCCACAGTTTTAATTTATTCCAAACCTCTAACATGTATAAGTGGAATTCCACGCGTGTTTCTATCGTTAAGTTGCTTAGATCGTGAATAATTCTTCCGTTTTCTGTTAGAGCCACAATCATCTCTCCCTCTCTTTCACACACACATCTCCTTCAGTTGTTAAGGAAACCTGTCCCGCTGAGAGTCCCAGGGCTTACATAAACTTGCTGTCAAGCGGAAATAGTCAACCGTGGAAATATTCGTGGAATATTTTATCGAGAGTTCGGTTATTTCTGTGAAATCTTCTAAGGAAGCAGGCAGATGCAGCAATGACATCCCACATTTCTATTCGGAGGTTGCTCGATCCCAATTTCAGCCGGTACACCCGCTATCCAGACTTAAATTTAGTGGTTTTCCTCAGCCACTCGATACGTTGATATGGCCACGACTGTATCCTCCGTAGTAATTTAACAGCACTTTCATTATCTAAAGCATATAGAGTCATATGACGGGATGATGAATACGTGATGAAATGGAAAAGATTATGAAGGAAATTGTCTGGCCTAAGCGATTTACTATTCTGGCATTTGCCAGAAGGGAGTAAGAACATCTACAGGAAGTCGCGAAAGGCGATGCCCCAGTCGAAATTCGAACCAAGCACNTCCAATTAATCATTCACCATTCACTATAGCACTCCACGGTACATAATCTCGGATACGGTGAGCGGCGTTTTCTATATACAAAACACATATAACTGAGCGAGAATGCTCAGCGGTAAAACGCCGCGAGCCATAGCTCAAGCGGTTAGTCTCTGGCTTCTTACAGCGGCTGCCGTGGTTCGAGCTTGGTTCTGGTCATATGGGATTTGTGGTGGACAAAGTGGCGTTGGGGCAGGTTTTCTCCGGGTACTTCGGTTTCCCCCGCCAATTTTATTCCACCAATTGCTTCTCAGTCACCCTCATCTATCATCTGGGGCTGGTACAATAGGCCATAAACGGCCGCAGTGCCAAGTGTACTTAGTC